AACCTATAATCTGTGTAGGTATTAAGCAACAGCATGTAGTAAGGTGCTGAAATCTAAGACTCTGAGCCCACATCCTAACCTGCCAGGTGTCATAAATACACTCATTGCCTGTGTTTGTTGTAGGTGTGAAGCAAGCATGCTGTGAGTTCCTCGAAAGCCAGTTGGACCCCTCTAATTGCCTGGGGATCAGAGACTTTGCTGAAACTCACAACTGTGTTGACCTGATGCAGGCAGCTGAGGTTTTTAGCCAGAAGCATTTTCCGGAAGTGGTGCAGCATGAAGAGTTCATTCTTTTGAGTCAAGGGGAAGTGGAAAAGCTGATCAAGTGTGATGAAATTCAGGTATGCATTTGGCTGGCTCTTAAAGCTTTCTTTTTTTTGTGCCAGTTCTGGGGCTTGAATTCAGAGACTGGGCACTGTCCCTGAGCTTTTTTAAGCTCAAGGCTAGCACTGTATCACTTTGAGCTACAGCACCATATCCAGCTTTTTGGTAGTTAATTGGTGATAAGAATCTCATGGACTTTACTATCTGGGCTGGCTTTGAACCATAATCATCAGACCTCAGCCTCCTGAGTAGCTAGGATTACAGGCCTGAGCCACTAACACCTGGGTCTTAATGCTTTCTTCGCAGCCAGCAAACTCTATAGGGCGGACATGCTGTTTTTTTTTTTTCTCAGGGCTTCACGGTCAAGTGTCCACAGTGGCTCCCTTTATTTGTACAGTATGTTGTTTTCTTCCATTAAATACATGATACCAGTGCTTAGGAATTTCTATTAGAGAGTATAGAATGATCAGAAATTGGAAGGGAGTTCAATTTTCACCAAATATTGTTTACTTATTCTCCCATTTTACAGACATGTAAAAATTTTGTACCATGGAGCAACATTTCTGTCAGGTGTTATAGATCCAAAACTGGATGAGGTACAGTTTGTTCATAGCATAGTAATAAAGATAGACAATAGGGCTGGGAAGGTGGCTCAGTGGTAGAGCGCTTGCCTTGCTTGCCTGAGGCCCTGGGTTCGATTCCTCAGCACCACATAAGTAAAAAAAGAAAAAAGCCAGCAGTGGTGCTGTGGCTCAAGTGGTAGAGCGCTAGCCTTGAGCTGAAGAGCTGAGGGACAGTGCCCAGGCCCAGAGTTCAGGCCCTATGACCGGACCTCCCCCAAAAAAACAAACAAAAAAGATAGCCAATAATAATAATAGAGTAAAATGAGCTATCTAAGGTAAGATTATATAGAAGGAAGGAGAGTAAACTTTTGTCCAAAGGAGCAGCAAAAGTTTGGTGATAAGGCCTTTTGTGAACAGGTGAAAGCTTATAACTGTCATGTGGAGCAGGAGAGGTGAGGAAGGCCATGTGAGCTGGGTAGCAAAGGGGTAGTGCCTCACCTAGCAGAGGAAAGAAGGCTAGAAAAATCTCTCCTGGAAGTGATGCCAGAGCTCAAAGTGGCAGAGCAATAGCCTTGAGGAAAAAAGCTCAGGAACAATTCAAGCCTCACACCTGACCGAGGGTGTGTGAGGGGGGGAGAATCTCAGTCCTAATCCTACATCAGAGTACTGGAGTCGGAGCAGCAATTTTGTTGCATATTTTATAGTTAGACTAAGACTGGGAGTGAGAAATACAATATAGGATTAATAAATGTCTTTGGAGCCTGTAGCTTTAATCTCCAGTGACCTAATTCTTTAGCTAGTACTAGGTTTTAGGAAAAAGTGGCTAGCAAAGCCTGTGGTAAAAGAACAATGTATCTGTTCGGTTTTATTTCCCACAGAAGAAACTTGATTTTTCAGATATGCTTGAGAGTTTTCGTTGTCGTTGTTTTGTTTTTTCCCCCTTCCTTCCTCTTGTAATAAAAAAATTAATTTAAATTAGTTGATTTCCAGAAGTCAGTGGCACATTTCCAGGTGTACCTCATTTATTTACTTATCTTTTTTGTGGTGCTAATGATCAAACTTGGGGCTTTACACTTGTTAACAAGCACTATATTACTGCAGTTACTCTCAGCCTGGTGTGCTTCAATTTAGACACAAGATTTAAAGGAGGGAATAAAAATTTGATTGATGGTCTTAGTGTTATAGAAGGAATTTGTTAATTCTTTTTTTTTTTTTTTTGGTTGGTCATGGGGCTTGAACTCTGGGCCTGGGCTCTGTCCCTTAGCTCTTCAGCTCAAGACTAGCACTCTACCATTTGAGCTACAGCGTCAATTCCAGTTCTCTGGTGGTTTATTTGAGATAAGAGTCTCATGGACTTTCCTGCCTGGGCTGGCTTTGAACTGCGATTATCAGATCTTAGCCTCCTGAGTATCTAGGATTACAGGTGTGAGCCACCAGTGCCTGGCTCCTCTTTTTCTTTACCCTTTATCTGGTGGGAACAGTACTATGGATCTCACACTTGTTAGGTAGCACTCTACCACTTCAGCCATGCCCCAAGTCCAAAATTTGCTATTTAAAGAAATTCTAAAGCAGTCGTCCCAGCTTCACTGGGAGGGATGTTCTCAGGACAGCCACCTGAGCCCCTGCTACCCCCACCTGGCCTCCCGGGCCAAGCTTCGCTTCTTCAAGCAGCTCCGGGAGCTCCGAGAAGTTCTAACACTACGTTGGTGGACGAGTTGCAGTCACTCATTCAAGGCTTGCTTTGCCTCTCTTGTGAGTCAGGACTATGTCAATGAAACTGATCAGGAAGAAATTCGAACTGGTGTTGATCAGTGTATCCAAAAGTTTCTGGACATTGCAAGACAAACAGAATGCTTTTTCTTACAAAAAAGATTGCAGTTGTCTGTCCAGAAACCAGAGCAAGTTATCAAAGAGGATGTCTCAGAACTAAAGAATAAATTGCAGCAGAAGGATACACTGGTCCAGAAGCACCTGACGAAGGTGCAGCATTGGCAGCAGGTGCTGGAGGACATCAACCTGCAGCACAAAAAGCCAGCGGACATCCCTCAGGGCTCCCTGGCCTACCTGGAGCAGGCCTCCACCAATATCCCTGCTTCTCTAAAGCAGACTTAATGGCTCTGTATGGACAATTTCACCAAACATCCCTCTTGTGGACCCGGATTTTGGAAGATTGCTTTACTGGAGAATAAGATGATGTCAGTTTTATGTTCCCATAGAATTTCCTCCATAATTTCATGAGCTATTAGTCTGTGTTTCTGCCTTTCTGTCTGTCTGTCTCTCTGGTGAGAGAGTGTGTAGCCCACTGGTCTCAAATTCTCAATCCCTTTGTCTCTAAAGCCAGGCACTGGTGGCTGTAATCATAGCTACTCAAGAGGCTGAGACCTGAGGATTGCAGTTCAAAGCCAGCCCCGGCAGAGCAGTCTGTGAGACTTTTCCCCAGTTAACTACCAGAAAAACTAGAAATGGTGCCGTGGTTCCAAGTGGTAGAGCACTTGTCTTCAGCAAAAGAGCTCAGGGATAGCACCCTGGCCCGAAGTTCAGGCCCCAGGACCAGCCAAAAAAGAAGAAGGAGGAGGAGGAAGAGGAGTAGGAGGAAGAAGGAGAAGAAGAAGGAGAAGGAGGAGAAGAAGAAGGAGGAGAAGGAGAAGAAGAAGAAGAAAAAAAAAATTCTAAGGTTTAGATGTGGTGGCTCATATCTGAAATCCAGCTGCAGGGAAGTATAGGTGGTAGGTTCAAGTTTAGGCTGACCCCAGCAAAAAATGTAAGACTCTTAATCTCTCAACAAAAAGGGCTATAAGTATTGCTCAGTGGTAAAAAGTTTGTCCCAGCATACATAAGGCTCCTGATTCAAACCCTAGTACTGGGGGGAAAAAATGTATATGATAAAAAAACTAGATGATGTAAAAACTTTTTACAAACTAAGGGATTATGCTCTGATTTATTTTGTTAGAAGTAAAAATTTTTATATAAAATAATAAAAGGTCTTAAATGTTTTTCTTAATAAGTTTGAGACAATTTCAAACCCTTCTTTAGTAGCTGAGGGAAAGTTGATGAGAGTGCGTTTTTATGTGCTGTTCCTGTCAGCCCAGAGGAGAGGCTCTTCACAGCTGTTGCTGAGTGAAGAATTCGCTAAAATTTTAGTTCTCACCCTTACTGGTGTACCACACTGGATGCTGTGCTGACATGCCAGGCATACCAAAGGAAATGTTCTGCAGACCTACAGAAACCAGTCATTTATAGCCTATCTTGGTTTTTCTTGACTGTAGAAGAGGATAAGGTGAATGTAATGCGCCCTCAAACTTGGAGCTCCCTTCAAATGGCAATGACTTAAGGAGTACTTACTCAGCAGTTATTGTTGGCTCATTTGCCCAGTATTTATTGTGCATGTTCCTATACTCTGAATAGTTCCAGTACTGGGAATCCAACTGTGAACAAGACAGAAGAAAAATTCCTGTGTTTGAGAGTGTACTTGCTTTCATTTATTTATTCATTTAAATATCTTTGTTTTCATTTCCGGGGATCAAATTCAGGGCCTTGCACATGCTAGCCAAGCGCAGTATCCAGTACAACACCAAGCATGGTGCCATTGAGCTACAGCCCAGCCCTGGAGCTCCCGTTCTCATGGCTCCACTCATTTTTGGTGTTTTTACCGTTTTTTGTTGTTGTTTTTTGCTAGTCCTGGGGCTTGAACTTAGGGCCTGAGCACTTTCCCTGAGCTGCTTTGCTCAAGGCTAGTGCTCTACCACTTTGGGTGACAGCTTCACTTTTGGCTTTTTGAGGTTGATTGGAGATAGAGTTTTTTGGTAGTTGTTTTGGTGTTTTGTTTTTTCCCGTCAGTCCTGGGGCTTAAACTCAGGGCTTGGGCACTGTCCCTGAGCCTCTTTGTATGCAAGGCTAGTGCTCTGCCACTTGAGCCACAGTGCCACTTGTGGCTTTTTTGGAGTAGTTTATGGGAGATTAGAGTCTCATGGAATTTTCTGTCTGGGATGGCATTGAACTTCCAGATCTCAGCCTCCTGAATAGTTAGAATTACAGGTGTGAGCTACCAGCACCTGGCATTTATTTATTTATTTATTTATTTGTCATAGGGCTTGAACTCTAGGCCTGGGCGCTGTCCCTCAGGTCTTCAGCTCAAGGCTAGCACTCTATCACTCGAGCCACAACACCACTTCAGTTTTCTGGTGGTTTATTGGAGATAAGAGTCTCATGGACTTTCCTGCCTGGGATGGCTTTAAACTGTGATCCTCAGATCTCAGCCTCCTTAGTAGCTAGGATTACAGGCATGAGCCTCCGGCACCCAGCTTATTTAATTCTTTTTTTTTGGGGGGAGGGGGAGGTCCGGTTGTGGGGCCTGAACTCTGGGCCTGGGCACTGTCCCTCAGTTCTTCAGCTCAAGGCTAGCGCTCTACCACTTGAGCTACAGTGCCACTTCTGGCTTTTTTCTTTTTGCTTATGTGGTGCTGAGGAATCAAACCCAGGGCCTCATGCATGCAAGTCAAGCGCTCTACCACTGAGCCACCTTCCCAGCCCCTATTTAATTCTTATATCTCTGTTTCTCTGGAGGAGGAGATACTGAGACTCAAAGGTTAACCATGACACCATAGCTAGTAAATGAATGGACAGCCAGGATTCAAATTCTGGCAGTCTGCTTCCGAGCGTGTTGGCTGAACCATTTTAAGCTGTGAACTCATCATGTGGTCATTTCTTGCTTGGCTATATTTCTTTTTGTCTATTCTAGGCCTTGAACTCAGGACCTTTCCCTTGCTAGATAGGTGCTCTAATTGTTCAAATCAGAAAGCAGGCACAGGAGTCATTTAGTTAGGGGCTATTACAGACTTAGAAATAAAGTAAGATGGAAAAGAGCAGGTAAGTAGTCAAGAGCTGAGATGAAAATTTTTCTCAAATTTGTATCATATTTGGACTTTACTTTTTCTAGAAAGACAAAATATTTTTTTTGTCGGTAAAGAGGAAGCAGATGTCTGGCTTCCAGTTGCTAATGAACACTTCCTCTTATTAAATAAAACAAAAGCAGTTAAAACAGTGGAGAGTAATATGTCATATTAGTTAAATCAACACAATTTTTTACAGTCAGCCTTGGCAGGAGCCACCAGTGCCTGGCTGTTCTGAGCGTTGAATGAGAATGCCACTGCCTGGTACAGAAGAGAAATCTTTGAAAATTATTGTGGTAACATTTATTTTCCTACATTAACATTGAGTTCCTACCCCTAGTTTAGCTGTTTCTCTGTAATTCTAATTAACTTTAGTAAAATTAAACTCTGCTCATCATTGGAAACTCCATCTTTCAATTGATTTGTCATATTTAAACCTAGAATGAGTCAGAATCTATTGTGAACCATTATTTTGGTATTTGTGGGAGGGGTGTGAAAGAATTGGGACTACCACTTGAACCATGACTCTACTTCTAGCTTTTGGGTGTTAAATTGGAGATAAGAGTCTCAAACCACAGCCTCAGAGCTCAATATCCTGAGTAGCTAGGATTACAGACATGAGGCTCCAGTACCTGTCTTATCTTTAAATATTTTTTTTTTAATCTTGAACATCCTTGTGTACTTTCCTCCACTTCTAGTTATTCAGAGATGAGTCCTTTCTCCATTACCTCAATAGCTTACCACCATTGCCACAGCTGTAGTCCACATGTTTTCCATCTCTGACCTGTTGTTTTAGAGTAGCAGCTAAGTGACCCTCTAGCTCTTGGTACTTCTGAACTCTTACACTAGTGGTCACCAGTGTAATCTTTACAAAATATCAATCAGATTATATTACTAGCCTGAAAAAATTTAAAGACCTCTAGTTCAGTCTCCCTTCCCTTCCTTCTCTTCTTTCTGTGTGATTATGGGGACTTGCACTCAGGGTCTTGCCCTTGCTTGGCTTTTCAGTCAAGGCTGGTGCTCTACTGCTTGAGTCACAGCCCTTCTTCCTGACTTTTAGTTATTCTTAAAGTACATAAGTCTTCTCACACCCTCTCTGATTGACCTTCAGCTGTTTCCCTCACTCATTCTCCACTAGCCACCAGTTTCCTCAAGCCACCAGTTCTAATTGCTTTAGGTTATTGCTGTATACTAGAAGATACAAACGATCTGTGCTGTCAAGTTTGATAGTGAAGTCACTGGCCACATGTTGTTGTTGGGCATCTGAACTGTATTTAGTACAATTGAGAAGCCGAATTTTAAACTTATTTTTAGTTTATTTAAATGTTAATAGTCACACTTGGATAGCGGCTACCAGGTTGTTCAGTGTACCTAGTCTGGTGCTTCTGGATGTGTTCTGCTGTTTGCCTAAAAGTACCCTTATCCTCCTCATCCAATTTCAACACAGTGCTTCCTCAGGGACGCTTCCCTGATTTCATTGGTTCTGAATTGGCAAATCTCATGTTGTTCTGTCCCATATCCCTAGCACAGCCGAATCAAACCACAGATTCTCCTTCACAGTTGTTTCTTCCCTTAAGATCCAGGATCATATCTGTTTGATTTGTTCACCACTGTCTTATCAGTTTCAGCACAGTGCCTGGCACTTGGTTAAGGTTCAATAAAGCCATGAAATCAAAGAATTTTCTGTAACATTTCCTGCACTTCTTTCTAGAGTACCATAATTCTTTTTTTTTTTTTTTGGTTCGGTCATGAGGCCTGAACTCTGGGCCTGGGCGCTGTTCCTCAGCTCTTCAGCTCAAGGCTAGCACTCTACCGCTTGAGCCACAGCACCACTTCCGGCTTTTTTCTTTATGCTTATGTGGTGCTAAGGAATCG